AGTAGAGATGGGGTTTCGCCATGTTAGCCAGGATGGTCTCAATCTCCTGACCTTGTGATCCGCCTGCCTCGGCCTCCCAAAGTGCTGGGATTACAGGCGTGAGCCACTGCGCCTGGCCTGCATTTTTTTTTAGTACAGACAGGCTTTCACCATGTTGGTCAGGTTGGTCTCAAACTCCTGACCTTGTGATCCTCCTGCCTCGGCCTCCCAAAGTGCTGAATTACAGGCGTGAGCCACCGCACCCGGCCTCTCTCCATATTTTCAATAAGCTACCAATACTACATACATGCATTCCATCATACAAAGCCAGTCTGGGATAAAATGTACAGGTACTTTCACTCTCACTCTTTAGGCCCAAGCACCTATCTGATCCCTGTGTACAGGCACAGGATGCTTTGCCCCAGCCAGAAAAGAAATAGATATAAACCAGCTGGCTGTGAAACCTCTATGTAGAAACAAAGCAACTAAGACACAGGTAGGCTCACCTACAATACAGCACAGGCCACTTCGTAAAGGCCCAAAGCAGTACACAGATCATGGAGAGGACTGGAGGGAAGAACAGAAGGTCTAAATGCATTCCTTTGACCATGAAGGACTCACTAGGTCCATTTGCAAACTCTTACACCATTCTGGGGGAAGATACTGTGAAAAAAAGGAAACTGCTACCAACCACCATGTCTGCAGGAAGTAAGGTGACTCCATGGCCTATAATCACTGCATAAAGAAAGGACTCCTATTTTAGTTAAATGCAGCTCCATTTGCTTTGAAAACTGGGTTTGCAGAGGCTTCAATTCAAGCCTTTCCTGAATGGCGAGATAAAAGAGGTATCTGCCTAAGATGGCAGCCCAGTGAGCCTGCCACTGGGGCCCCACACTCCCCCTCACACCACAGCTATGTGGTGCTCTGTGCAAAGGCTGAATAATGGGGTGTCTCAGGTACTCTCACTCATGTTTTCTTTTTTTTTTTTTTTTTTTTGAGACGGAGTCTCGCTCTGTCGCCAGGCTGGAGTGCAGTGGCGCGATCTCGGCTCACTGTAGCCACTGCCTCCTGGGTTCAAGCGATTCTCATGCCTCAGTCTCCCAAGTAGCTGGGATTACAGGTGCCCGCCACCACGCCCGGCTAATTTTTTGTATTTTTAGTAGAGACGGGATTTCACCATGTTGGCCAGGATGGTCTCGATCTCCTGATCTTATGATCCACCTGCCTCGGCCTCCCAAAGTGCTGGGATTATAGGCGTGAGCTGCTGAGCCCAGCCTGTCCATGTTTTCACATTATACTAGTAGATATTTGTGGATGACACAGCCCATGCTGTAGAACAGAATAAAATTACATGGGTGGAAAGGGACCTTCAATCCCTTACCTTCCAGAAAGGAAACTAATACTACAGAGATCTTGTCCTCTCTCAGGTCCTCTGTCAAGAGTGAAACCAAGTGACCTCACCAATGTCACAGATTAAGAGTAGTGGAGCCACAGCAAGTGTCCCAGCCTACTGCCTTTTTACCATTCTCAGCCCCTTCTGTCATCTACATCTTAGCCTCAAGTCCCCAAGTAGCATCTTTTCTCTGATCTACTTACTCAGTGACTCCGCGGTCTATTTCAAGAGGCCCTAAACCTCTTGTGCTTTAGAACAGACAGGATTGGCCAGGCGCAGTGGCTCACGCCTGTAATCCCAGCTCTTTGGAAGGCCGAGTCGAGTGGATCACCTGAGGTCAGGAATTCAGGACCAACCTGGCCAACATGGTGAAACCTCATATCTACTAAAAATACAAAACATTAGCCAAGCGTGGTGGCAGGCGCCTGTAATCCCAGCTACTTGGGAGGCTGAGGCAAGAGAATTGCTTGAACCGGGGAGGCGGAGGTTGCAGTGAGCCGAGATTGTGCCACTGTACTCCAGCCGCGGTGACAGGGTGAGACTCTGTCTCAAAAAAAAAAAGCAGACAGGATCAATATGGGGGCTACAGGCTGGGTGCAGTGGCTCACACCCGTAATTCCAACACTTTGGGAGGCTGAGGCAGGCGGATCACTTGAGGTCAGGAGTTTGAGATCAGCTTGGCCAACACAGAGAAACCCTGACTCTACTAAAAATACAAAAATTAGCCGAGTGTGGTGGCATGCACCTATCATCTCAGCTACCTGGGAGGATGAGGCAGGAGAATCGTTTGAGCACAGGAGGTGGAGGTTGGAGTGAGCTGAGATCACGCCACTGTACTGCAGCCTGGGCGACAGAGCAAGACACTGTCTCAAAAAGCAACAACAAAAAAAATGTCGGCTACAGATTAAGAACCATCACAGTACCAAGTAACATTTAGGAGCCCATGCTATGTGTATCAGATACTGTTCTAAGTTGGGTATTTTATGGGGTAAGAAAGAATGGTGCCATAAATGATCACAAATTGTTCTCTAGCGTCTGTGTCTCAGAAATGGCCTCCCCCTCAAAACCACAAGCCAACCATATCTTTTCAGTGTGGCCAATGGACTGTATGGACAGTCAAAAAAATAACCTGAATGATGATCACAGCCCCTAATTACTGCTGCAAAAGCTAAATGGGTACAAACTTTGATATTTCATTAAACAAAAACCTGAATTCCAAATACTTTTCTGCGAGTCTGGCTGAACCTTATCTGATATTTCATCAAACAAAAACTTGAATTCCAAATACTTTTCTATGAGTCTGGCTGCTTCTCTGGGGCAGGAATATTAAGGGGTGAGAAAGGAACTGGCCACACTCCCAGAGGGACACAAACGCCTCACTAGACGGGCTGCATCGGCCAAATGAAGAGAAGTATCTCTTCCTGTACCTTGTTGTAAGTGTAGGGCGTCGGTGAGGTAGGTATGATGCCAGATTTCTCCTTCTGATGCCTTCTTTGCGCCTCCAGTACCTGTTAAGAATCAGACCAAAGGGGACCATTTACTGAAAATCACACCCCCGATAACCTGCCTTGAGACACGCTACTGTAAGACTAAAGGAGGCAAACAACTGGCAATCAGCCATTAAAAAAAAACTTCACATAAACACTACACTTGCAAAAACTTTTTTTCTTACAACCAGTCATTTACCCATCAGCCAAGTAAATACTCAGGTCAAGGACATGAAGATGAAGTTCCTAGAGGAGATTCTCTCTTCTTCCTGCCCATCAGGGAATCTGAGATCACTGACTCTTTCCTGGGGATAGCCCTTATGCCTATGCAAAAGCAGACCTGTCCAGCAGATGAGCTTCAAGCCATCTGTTACCATCAGGGACTACAACAGTCATGTCTGTCTAGGTGTTAAATGCTCCAAGGAGGTAGCCACTGCCACTGTGAGACCATTATCCTGGCCAACCTCTCTAATGTCCCATGAGGAGGGCCTCCAGAGGGGGACACAACATTAGCAGCCCCACACTGTTCCCAGAAAAGTGACAGGACGCTGAGGCTCTCTGTGCTAGGGGACTTCATCCCACAGCCAGACCTACTTGATACTGTCTCAGCCCCTGTGCCCATGAAGCTGGGGCGGATGGGATACAACTGCTACCACTTAGCCAGGGGCTGCACTGCCATCTTGGGCAACTTTGCAAAGGCCATCTTCAATGCCATCTCTAAGACCTGCAGCTATCTCACCTAATAGAAATTCACTGACCATCTTATAAAAACCTATACTAGGCTGGGCGCGGTGGCTCACACCTGTAATCCCAGCACTTTGGGAAGCCAAGGCAGGCAGATCATGAGGTCAGGAGTTTGAGACCAGCCTGGCCAACGTGGTAAAACCCCATCTCTACTAAAAATACAAAAATTAGATGGGCATGCTGGTGGATGCCTGTAATCCCAACTACTCAGGAGGCTGAGGCAGAAGAATCACGTGAAACCGGGAGGCGGAGGTTGTGATGAGCCGAGATGGCACCACTGCACTCCAGCCTGGGCAACAAGAGCAAAATCCCATCTCAAAAAAAAAAAAAAAACCTACTCCAAAGTCTCCATGCAGAGGACCTGGGCTCCAACCATGACCACCATATAGAGTTTTTACACAAGAACAACAAAGTGAGTTAATTAAACCTGAAAAATAAAACACCATTCACAACAGTAGAAAAAATATTAAACATTAAGAATAAATCTCACAAAGATGTGAGAGACCTATAAACTGACTACATCATACTGCTGAGCAAAATTATGAGACAAACATGAATGGAGTGATACAGCTTGCTCATAGGTCAGAAGACTCAGTATCACCAAAATCTCAGCACCCCCACACTGAATGATAGCTCTAAAACAACCCCAGTCAAAACTCCCAGTAGGCTTTTTTATAGAAATCAACAGCTGACTGTAAAGTTCACATGGAAATGCAAGGAAGTTAGAATAGCAAAAACAACTTTGAAAACGAAGAACAAAGGTAGAGGGCCAACGCTACCTGGTTTCAAGAATTATTATAAAGCTACAGTAATCAAGACAGTGTGGTACTGGGGTAAAGACAGAAAAAGAAATCAATGGAATAGAATAAAGAGTCCGAAAATAAATTCACACATATATGTTCAGTGATTTTTGACAAAGGCTCAAAAGCAATGCTGCAGAGAAAAGAGAGCCTTTTTCATGAACGGTTGCTTCTGAGGGTGGGGCTTAAAAGATAAAAATGGCGGCCGGGCGCGGTGGCTCACACCTGTAATCTCAGCACTTTGGGAGGCCGAGGTGGGTGGATCACGAGGTCAGGAGATCAAGACCAGCCTGGCTAACATGGTGAGGCAGGAGAATGGCCTAAGTAAACCTGGGAGGCGGAGCTTTCAGTGAGTCTAGATTGCGCCACTGCGCTCCA